CCTTCTAACAGTAACCCAGCTCCCCACCTCGGGATCCTGCTCCTCCAACCCCCCCTCCACCACAGCCTGGTGCGTTATGTCCAGACTCTTTTCCATGACTGTTATGCTCCTAAGTGTTGCCAGTTTCTTGCTTAGATCCAGAATCTGGGTTTCCAAACAAGCAACTTGCTCACATCTCGCGCAAATGTATTTCCCATCGAACGCATGTTCAAGGAACGCATACATTGTGCACGACATGCACCTGGTTGCATACCCACTCATGGAAGACATTATTTTATTTCACCCTTCTTATTTATTTACTTTTTATATTATTTTTATGTAAATCGAGACTACTTATTTGTAATTTATTTATCTAAGGTTTAGTGGTTCACAAGTGGCACGTTCAATAACTTGTTTTTTAAACTAAATTTAATTTATACCACCGCCCTGAAATAAGTTACCACCACCCTGGTTAAACTTCAATTGTTTAAACTTCAATTTTTTAACGCCACTTAGCTGCCAGGCACTTTGTTCCCAAGCCCTGTGTGAGCAAGCTCAAAATGAGTGGTGCACTAGTTTATAATACACCTGCTCAATGAGAGACACCTGAGCTCAATTAACCCCTCCCCCTAACCAGAGCACTGCAAACCTGAGGGGAAAAAAAAAGTGAACAGTTTAAAAACTGACAGAAAAGGAAAAAGAGTTTTAAATACTAAGAAAGGGTCTAAAAAGGAAGGAAGGAAGCAGAGACAACAAGTATTCCAAAAATCAAGCACTCAATATAGCCCAAACAGTTCAAATCCAATTTTTTAACGCCACTTAGCTACCAGGCACTTTGTTCCCAAGCCCTGTGTGAGCAGGGCTCACTTGGCACAATGCAGTCAGGCAAGTACTTTTCTCCTGCCAACCGCAAAACCCAGACACGTCCATCGGATTGCCAGACAGAGAAGCGTGATTCGTGACTGGAGAGAACACGTCTCCACTTCTCTAGAGTCCAGTGGTGGTGTGCTTTACACCACTGCATCCGACGCTTTGCATTGCACTTTGTGATGTAAGGCATGGATGCAGCTGCTCGGCCATGGAAACCCATTCCATGAAGCTTTCTATGCACCTATTGTTGTGCCAATCTGAAGGCCACACGAAGTTTGGAGGTCTGTAGCTATTGACTCTGCAGACAGTTGGCGACTTGTGCGCTTCAGCATGCGCTGACCCCGTCCTGTCATTTTACATGGCCTACCACTTCATGACTGGTTGCTGTTGTTCCCAGTTGCTTCCACTTTGTTATAATGCCACTACCAGTTGACTGTGCAATATTTAGTAGCCAGGAAATTTCCCGGATGGGCTTATTGCACAGGTGGCAACCTCTCTCGGTACCACACTTGTATTCACTGAGCTCCTGAGAGGGACCCATTCTTTCACAAATGTTTGTAGAAACCGTCTGCATGCCTAGGTGCTTGTTTTTTTTTTTTTCTAAATATTTGTATTGATTTAAGGTAAGAAGCAATAGAATGACAATATCATAACAAATCAAAGCATGTAACATTCACTTTACATCAATGTAGTTGACATTGACAGCATCTACCATTGCAAAATACAGAATAGACAATATAAGCGCTTGGATGTGTGTTTCCCTGTATTTTGGGGGATGTATTATCAGTGAATTCCTAGTCATGCGAGTACCCAGGTTATGTCTGGGTGAGCTTGCTGATGATGGGGTTGAAGGAATGCGCGAAGGGGGGTTTGGTAGTTAGGTGTCGTAACAAGCATGGGTATTCCAGGTTTCGATAAGTATGCTGGCAGCATTACAAGTGATGACATGAGGGAGGGGGGGGGGGGGAGGAAGAGGATGGAGGCGACAATGAGCTCACCTGTGTCGTGTGATTCACTCCGGCTTTGATCAATTGTTTGATTAATTCGGCTGAATGCTGAAAATGGACTTTTGCTGCAGAAAACAGAAATGGGTATTTGGACCTCTGTGAGACTTGTACAAGATTAGAGGAATCCCCTCCCCCTAAGTGTGCCAGGGGCAGCTGAACCCCGGCATGGAAATGTGTTTGTTGGGGGGACTCACCATCCGCCGTGCCGTGGATCAGTAAAAGGTTCTTCTCTTTGAAGCCCTGAATGTTGTGCAGCACGCTGGATGCCTGCCGAGAGAAATGTGCAGCTGAACAAAGAGGGGCCCCACCAGATAATAGTGGCTTGCATTGAGGGGTGGAGTTATGGAGACAAGTGGGAGGAGCATAGACCAGGTAAGGTTGGAAGAAGGCGGAGTTTTGATTTACCTGATAAGTGTTCTCGTCTGTGCTCGGCATTCCCAGGTATCGCTCTGAAAACGCAGAAGCTGCAGGATGAGAGAAGGATGAAAGGTGACAACATGCGTCGTTGTGTGCCGAGTCACATGTCTTCCCATCCCGGGAATGACAGGGCCATAGTGGGAGTAGTAGTCCATACAACATTGTACCAGTGTGTTATCTCTAG